TAGTATGGGTCATAAAAAGAAACTGTCGTCGCAAGTTCCGTCGTTACCAATAGAGTTCAATGGAACTAACAACCAGACCAAAACGCACACCAGGTTAGGTTCACAGTGTATGTGTGTGTGTGTGTGTGTGTTCACTGCTGTGTGTGTGCACTTTGGATGGGTTAAATGCACTAATTCCAATGAATTAGTATGGGTCACAAAAAGAAACTATCGTCGCAAGTTCCGTCGTAACCAATAGAGTTCAATGGAACTAACAACCACACCAAAACACACACCAGGTTAGGTTCACAGTGTAAGTAACCATAGTAACCATCTGAGTATAATTTACCTCTCTTTTAGAAACGTGCTTGACTTATCCTGCTTTCTTGGGTTTGACAAACCTCCCATTCTGAAATGGAAAACCACTGGTCTAGAGCACCTGTTGATTTTACTTAAAAGTGGTGTATGTTCTGAAGTGATGGAGTGTTATGCCCTTGGCTAATGTAATATGACCACTTTATTGTTTATTGCTTACTGTAATTGTTCTGATGTGCATTCAAAGGCAAAATAAACAGACCATATGTTTACACTCACATCAACCATAATTATAAGCAAGTTTGAAACATCAAGCTGAAAGTGTAAAACTGCTAAAATGTGTTAATTGAATTGAAGCCTAATTGAAATAAAGCTAAAATAAAGTAGAAAGATTTAATTCACACACACACATATATATAATATATATATATATTTTTTTTAACTATATATATATATGTTTGCACTGGCTACCAATAGCTGCGCGCATAAAATTCAATGCATTAATGTTTGCATATAAAACCAATACTGGCTCTGCACCCCTTTACCTAAATTCATTACTTCAGACTTATGTGCCCTCTAGAAGCTTGCGTTCTGCAAGTGAACATCGCTTTATTGTGCCATCCCAAAGAAGCACAAAATCACTTTCTCTGACTTTTAAATGAAATGTTCCTCCTGGTGGAATGATCTGCCCAACTCAATCCTAGCAGCCAAGTCCTTAGCCATCTTCAAGAATCAGCTAAAAACACATCTCTTCCATCTTTATTTGACCCTCTAACGCTAGCACTCTCTATTCTAATTCTATTCTTTATAAAAATAAAAATAAAAACTTGCCCCTATTAGACTTGCACTCTATTTATTTACTAACTGCTTGTTTTCTTTAAAAAAAAACTTGCATTCTATCTATTTGTTTTCTTTTTATTTATTATACAATTATAATTCTGACTTCTGACTTCTGATTAACAAAAGCAAAAAAAGGCCTCTAACACTAGCTTGCTCTATTCTTTTTCTATTCTATCTGTTTTCTTTTTATTTATTATATGATTTTAAAAAAACCTTGCTATGTGTACTGCGTTAAGCTAACTGAGACTTGTTATAGCACTTGCTTATCATTGCTCTTTTGTTGATTTTGATTGCTTCCGTTGTCCTCATTTGTAAGTCGCTTTGGATAAAAGTGTCTGCTAAATGTCTAAATGTAATGTAAATGTAATATATATATATATTTATAATAAAATCGTCAAAGGATATACATAAGAAAATAACTAAAACAAAAATGTAAAATGGGTTACGGACACTTCACATTGACCTTAAACACTCTCTTCCCTTTTGTCTGTGTTCACAGGGTTGAGGAAAGCTTTAAAACTCTCTTTTGGTCCATATTCGGCCTGTCTGAGGTGTCTTCTGTGGTGTTGAAATATGATCATAAATTTATCGAAAACATCGGCTACGTGCTGTACGGGATCTACAATGTTACCATGGTGGTGGTTCTGCTCAACATGCTTATTGCCATGATAAACAGCTCATACCAGGAAATAGAGGTGAGTGATTTTCAAATGCAGTATCTACAGTATGCTGCGTCCCAATGAGCCTACTTATACTACGCCCTTCTTCAATCTTTTGGTGAAGCAAAAGTACACACTTTTGAGTGTGTAGTAGAAGAGTTGGCAAGCTTTGGGGCATACTATCATGTCATAAAATTGCGTCTGTAATGGACCGCTCTGTCGCACAGTTACACGCACCCTGTCACTGTAAAATGGCCTGTCCATCATCTTATCACAGTTTATATCCCCCACATTTCATTTAATTTAACTTCCTACCGTATTGGAGAGAAAAGAAGTAGCATATTGATCCGCCAGCCGTGGGTCTTTATGCAGAGAATTCTGCTCATATTTTCTGCATAATGATGCATTTAAAAGTTAAAGGTGGGGTAAGCGATTTCTTGTAGCCAATGTTGACATTTGAAATCACCAAAACAAACACGCCCCTACCCCAAAAGGGTCTCGCCCCTATTTTGATAGCTCTGCCCCACACATATACGTACACAACCCAGGCAATGATTAGTTCTGTGAAACAAAGTAAAACCAATGTTACACCGTGTCTACACTGAATGCGAGTGGCTCGGCGCGACAAAATTTTAGCAAATGGCTGCAATATAACAAAGAGTGAAAAATTTAAGGGGGTCTGAATACTTTCCGTACCCACTGTATATATATACATATCTTTGGTCTACACTGGATGCGGCGCGGCACGACACGACAAATCCCCGACAGAAAACTGCTGCTGCATTCTATTCATGACGTATTGACACAAATTTCAAATGATTTTTAATAGGTCGCGTCCAGTGTACTAGACAGACTTTAGCTGTTGTGGAGCAGACACAGTGTTACTCACCTATCAAGAAGAAACAAAGCAACCTCGGCCTTCCTCTCCTTGAGTTCTCTCCAGCACTAGAAAGCTGATCCGATATTTACACGGGTCCTACTTCTTGCCTCATTGCCTTAAGCCTTCTTTTGTTCCACAGATGTCTTCCTCTTTTGTTTTTTATCCGCCATCTCTATCTTTCTGTCGCTCGGCTCGATAATGTCCGTCCTGTGCACTGAACGCTCTCTCCTCCACATCATGAGTAGACACGCCCCTTATTGCTGATTGGCTACAAGTTTGTTTTGCTAGTCAGCCAAATCATCTTTCTAAAGCGTTTTTGAAAAATCGCTTACCCCACCTTTAATGGCCAAATGGATGTTTATAAAAGTTCACATTGTTGTTGTAGATGAAATATAACACAGATAACATCAAATAAACCTTTTTAACAGGCTAAATGTTAATTATTAGTAACTCAACCCCATTTATTTAAAACCTCTCTACTTAACCGTCTGTCGCGCACATCCACCATGAAGGGAACGTCTCGGGTTACTTATGTAACCATGGTTCCCTGAGTAGGGAACGAGACACTGCGTCCTCTAGGTTTCTTGCCATGCTGCGGACGCAAGCTTCAGACGAAGAAGTGAATGATGTGTAGCTCCCGGCACCGATTTATACTGTAGTCGCACCGGTAGTGACGTCATGGCTGTCGCCGGCCAACGAGTTGGTGTTTTTTCAATGTATGCTTCAGATACGAGTCACGACGAGGCGTTCCCCATAGCGACCCCTAGAGGACGCAGTGTCTCGTTCCCTACTCAGGGAACCATGGTTACATAAGTAACCCGAGACGTTTTTAATGCTTTTTTCCGTGTTTGTAGTTATGAACCGAATCCTTCACCAAAGCGCAATAGATTGTGTGCAATATTAGCCATTAGAGTGTGCACGGATCATAATCAAGATTTTAAAAGCTATGATTGAGAGGTGAATACTTAAGAAGCAAACTACCATACAAAAGAGGGTTTTTGCCTCAGTGTGGTAGGAGAACCATTTTTGGTACCCCCAAGAACTTTTCAGTAAACCGTTCTTAAAAGAACCATTTTTCTTAGTTTAAAGAACTTTTTTAATAATCTAAAGAACCCTTTTCCACTATAAAGAACCTTTTGTGGAATGGAAAGATTCAATGGATGTTAAAGGTTCAATAATGAACCTTTATTTTTAAGACTAAATTCATGTTACAGATCGTTAAAGGAATAGTTCACCTAAAAGATATCCGTACTCCAGTCCATCAGTTAATTTCTTGTGAAGTGACAAGCTGTGTGTTTGTAAGAAACAAACCCATCATTAAGACATTTGTAAAGGGATAGTTCTCCCAAAAATAAAAATTTGCTCTTAATTTACTCGCCCTCAAGCCATCCAAGATGTAGGGGACTTTTTTTTTTCTTGAGTAGAACAGTTAAGACATTTTTGAGATGAAGCCATGGTCTTTTCAGAATCATAAAATGCAAGTCAGCGGCTGCCTGTCTTTGAGAATAAAGCATATCAAGGAACACAAAATTAATACTCGTGGCTCCTGACGACTTATTGAGGTCTTATGAAGCAAAACGATCGATCTGTGCAAGAAACTGAACATTACTTTTGTCCATAATATTGCTTCCTCCTGTAAAAAAGTCGTCTCATCTGAATCATGAGAGAAATATGCACAGAACAAGCACCGTTTACAAGCAAAAATAGTCCAAATCAGTTCTATTCAGAAAGACTCAGAATGAAGATGAACATTTGCATGGTATTTATTCCGTAAAGTATTAACAGATGGTAGTGAGTTACAATAATTCATGTATAGTTGTATAGAAAAGTTATTTGGCGTAGACCCTGTCCTTAGTCCTAATCATGGGGATGCAGATTCGGCGGATCCTGCCTGAAGATGAAGGCAGGGGCGGAGCCTACCCCCATGGATGGACAGGGCCAACCTGGTGGTGGTGGGGAGGATGGAGGGAAACGTCATGAAAGAGTTAATTCAAAAATTAAAGAGTTCAGTGCTTATATACTCCAGGTGTCAAGCAGTGATTGGCCAGACCTATTAATATGAATGAATGACGTGTCATTATAGTCTTTCTAACAGGACTTGCGCGTACAGCTTCATTTCTAATCGATTATGTCAGTGGATTTTAATGTGAGAGACAACAGGGGATGGATGTTTTCAATGGAGGAAGAGTTATTATAGATTATGTACTCATATTTTGTCCAGAAGCAACAGTTTCCACTTCACAAGGATACCTTTTGGACTATTGTAATGTTTTTATCAGCTGTTTGGACTCTCATTCTGACGGCACCCATTCACTGCAGAGGATCCATTGGTAAGCAAGTAATGTAATGCTACAGTTCTCCAAATTTGTTGATAAAGAAACAAACTCATCTACATTTTTTAAATTTTCATATTTGGGTGAACTATTCCTTTAAAGGCTTCTTTGGCAAAAATACGTCTGGAATCAGATCAGACTTGTCCACTGTGTTTCCAATAATCCCCTGGGAGAAAATGATGTCTGAAGCTTTTAATGCTGCTGTTAAAATGACTGTAATCTTTCAGAAGGACTCTTAGAGCCTTTGAGGACCACAGACGGGGTCTGTGAGAAATTATTATTGTGCAAATGGCCCATACTTCAGATTTCTGGAGAAGAGGCATTTAGCATCTATCGCTGACCGAAAATGTAATTCTTATACAACACTAAACCTCAGTTTAACCCTTGCCATGCTGTGCTGAAAATCGTTTACCTAATTCAGTTTTCCCAGTCAAAAATGACTGGCATTTTAAAATTTCTCATTATGCTATATTATCAAACTTATTTATAGGCCAGTCATTTTTGAATGGGAACAAAAATGCCAGAACAAAATCGGTACGTTTTAGTCCAATGTGATAACATTAAGTAGCATTTTTATGGAAAAAGAAGATTGTCTCTGGGTCAAAATGACCATAACACAACATAAGTGTTCATCTTTATTCCTAGTCATATCAAAGCCTCAGCCTCTTATGGTATGATGATTTCTAATAGTTCTGTATAGGATCTAACAGTCTGTTTCTCGCAGGATGATGCAGATGTGGAGTGGAAGTTTGCTCGGTCTAAACTCTGGCTCTCATATTTTGACAACGGCAAGACTCTCCCGCCTCCATTCAGCATCGTCCCCAGTCCGAAGTCCTTCTATCTGTGTATCAAGAGACTGATCAACCTGCTCCGGTGTCGCCGGCGCCGCCTAAAAAAAGACGTGGAGCTGGGCATGGACAACTCGAAGTCCAGGGTATGTGTCTGCTGTTGTTTATTGTTTGTATGTGCTGATCTGTGTGTCAGAGTTGCACAAAATACTGAATTTAAGGCATTTTTCAGTTCATGAATGTGAATTTGAATTGAATTGAATTGAATTGGCCAAAACTCACAGAAAGTTGAATTGGAATTTAAATTGAATGACAAGAAGAGGAATGTTTTGATATGGAATTATATAAAAATATATGTATGTGTGTGTGTGTGTGTGTGTGTGTGTGTGTGTGTGTGTGTTAAATGAATATGGTTATATTTAATCCCAGTCAATCCCTAGTTAGTAGATATTTTTTAAATGAATTTATAAAACTAATGATAATGGTTTGTTTGAATTTACATTTTCATAATACAATTATATAATTTCATATAGTTTTTAACTAATTTTTCATTTTAATCTTCAAATAGTAGATATGTATACAATCAGTATAATTATATATATATATTATATATATATTACAGTATGTATTAAATCATACACATATTATATAATATACAATGATACATTAAAATACACAAAATAGAATTATATGTTTGTCTAAAAATTATTTCTTTTTTATAGCTGCCATTTTAAATATGATTATCAATATGAACTAATGATTTTGGAAATACCCTATATGTTGTGTATAATAACATATTTGGTATTTAAGGTAAGTCATACTGAAAAATGAAATTATAAAAAAAGTCTTCTAATAGACTTCCTTTTAATTCTATTTTAATTCCACTTTTTTATTTTAATTATAATTCTGCATTCTTGAATTGCTATTGCAATTAAAATTCATGGTTTGAATTTTTATTTAAAAGACATTTTCAATTACATCCATAACCTTAGTGTGTGTGTGTGTGAGAGAGAGAGAGAGAGAGAGAGAGAGAGAGAAAGCTCTTGAATGATGCATGATATCTTTCCTCCTCCAGTTCCCTCTCTCTGAAACCTGTAGCCTGACACAGTGCACCTTCCATTCAGATTTTAAAGAATGAAGCACCTCTCCTCCCATCCACCCTGCTCTCGGTGTGATAATTCACTCAACACCATTCATTTTCTGCCTCCATTCTCAATAAAACTGTTCTTTTTTCCAGTGAAAATAAGCCACAATGATCTATCTGTCCAATAAAGACCAGATAATACCTCCCTATGTAATTAACTTATCGACATTTCCCAAGCCAAACCGCTTTTTAGCGTTTCCACAAAAAAAGACAGATAGAGGCGGGAGATAGTTTTGTCCTTATTAGCCTGCAGAGAGAATCGATGCTGTTTCAGTGCAGAATAGAGGGGAGCAAACTCTGATGAAGAGGTGAGAGATGATCATTGCTTCCTCAGGGCAAATGTCACTTCATCTCCTGTATGAGCCTGAGCACATGTCCACAAAACCACGAGAGTAACCGCATTATTCATGATTCATCGTGGCAGAGGCCTCGGTCTAATTCACTCTGATCAGGCCAGCGTCTCCCGTGGGCTGCGTAATTGAAAAACTGACAAAAACATGTGTAGAGCCCCATCTACAAGACACGGAAGAGAGGGGCTCATCTGGTGGTTGCCAGCATGGCTGCTGTTTTCAGATGTTGAATCATCTCGTGAGCATCAGGGAACATTCACTCATGCACAGAGACTTTGTAGCTGCTATGAGTTCAGTTATAATCGCATCAGATTGTAGTTAGTGTTTTTCAAACATCTACCACAGGCTGTTGTTTGAACCTGTCTTTACAGTAAGAACTGTTGAATTGCACTTTAGTTTACACAATGTACTGTATTAATATGAAGGAACTTTCATATTCCTTAATATAGATTTTTTTTACAGGTGTTTAACATGTGTTTTGAATTTTACACTTCAGTTTTACTGTTAACAGAAATGTGTGTTACTGGATAATTTACTAAATTTAAGGGGGTCTGAATACTTTCCGTACCCACTGTATATATATATATTCTTTTTTTCAGTTTCAGTTTATTTTCATTTAGTTTTAGTAATTTCATTTTATGCTTTTGACGTTTTTGTTCATTGTTGTTTTTTCAATATTTCTTTATAGCTTTATTGTAGAATACTATAATATTCTGTATAGGTTTTTAATATATCTTTATATTTCTGTTTTAGTAGTTTTAGAAGTTCAGCTTAAACTAAATTAAGAAATTTTCCTTGGCAATTTTCCAGATATTACTGCAGTTTTTCTCTTAATTATATATATTTTATTTTATTTCAGTTTTATTTCAATTACTGAAAACAGTTTTTCATGGTTTTAGTTCACACTAACAACAATGCTGAGAAAGTCTTTATTGATTTCAGTGGTTTGTTACGCCCTCTGGTGGCCAAAAGTTAAAGATAATTTTATTTTACATTGAATTTCTTCTGAAATTGTATCAATTTCTGAATGTGTACTTACACACTTAAAACTGCAGTTAGATACATTTGAATCTGCCAGCACTGTTTATGTCATTAGTGTCTTTATTCAATTGTTTTTGGTTTATTGCTTGTGATTTATTTTTCTTCATTATTTTATTATTAACTGTTAACTTAATTATTTGAATTATTACTTAATTGGAAAAATAAGACTACATGCATTTGCTTCTTTAGTTTATATTAAATGTATATAAAAATATTTAATATTGCTAGAGAATGGATGGATAGATATGTTTAATAATAAGATTATAAATTAATGTTAATATTAAAAATATTAAACACACAAAATAAATAAATATTAAGTAAATATAAGTATTTAATAGCATATTGGGTCTTATTGTTGTATTGAAATTGAAATCAGAATTGTGTAATTTCACTGGTTTTGATCTCAACTGCTGAAATCAGTTAATCAGTTGTTGAAACCCCTGTGACGTCATCACTCTTTACCAATAATCAATATTTCTCAATGCTTACAGCTGAACCTCTTCACCCAGTCGAGCATGAGGATGCCGGACTCTCACAGCTTCAACAGCATCCTAAATCAACCCACACGCTATCAGGCAAGGCCAGCATCATCTCTCTCTCTCTCTCTCTCTCTCTTTCACTCAGATGATGAATCATCACTGCAGATTTCACCCTTATCGATTTCTCTGATTTTCACTTTGTCTGATTCCCTCACACAGCAAATTATGAAGCGTCTCATCAAACGCTATGTACTGAAAGCACAAGTGGACAAAGAAAATGATGAAGTGAATGAAGGTGAAGTGTGATTCACAATGAGATTCTTGATTATATAACTGATAAAAACAATAAATGGGAACATTTGCCATAAAACCAACCAATTGGATATTAAAAAAGGATGATTCTGTGATAAAGCTAATATGATTAAGATGTTATTGAAAGAAAAATAAATAAATATAAAGATAAAAAATATTATATTTTGCTTACAGTATATGAAGCCTATTAAAGCCTTTTTTTATTATTTACATGACAATTATGCATCCCCC